TACAAGAAAAGAAAATACAATAATTGAAATTAAACAGCATTATTTAAAACTCGTAAAACAAATACAAATGTATATGGACTAGATTTTCAACTATTAATCACAACATCAAAGTGGAACCCAGTTGAATTGTCTAAAAATATAGAATAGTCACTTAACTTATACAGCCGTAAACTGCATTGGTAGATCATCCATTTTGTTTTCTCTCCATATTTGCTGTATACTTGAATACTTCCATAAATGAAGCACATCCAATTATCTCCGCATCAGTTGCCCATGTCGCATCTTCAAGTATCCTAGTTTTACAAAGATGCATTTGAATTGGCATACTCAAATATCCAGTCATTTCATCATGTATTTGGTTACACATATGGTTAACAACCTTGTCTCTAATTTGCTTATGCTCATCCTCACTTCCTGTTATGATAAAAGAAACTGCTCTTAAAAAGCAGTTTCCATCTCCTTTAATTCTATGGAGTCCCTGAGGACAAAGAGTTAGGTTTATGTTTCCTACGGCGACATTGTGTTTCCAAACAATTTCAAACTTTTCTGCAATTAATTTTCTCATTTCAAAAGTTGCACACTTTGCTATTTCTTTGTCTAAAACATATACACAGCTTTCATGTTGAGTATTTATATATGACTTGCTTGATTCAACGTCTTTGATAACTGGTTCAATTTTGATATCATTATCATTTGATAATTTGTTAACTTCTTCTATTTGAATGCTTCCATTACTAAGTGTTTTTTCTTTGTACAAGGACAAACTTGTTAGATTGTACTTTTTTTTCAATATTACATTTTTTTCATTTTTTAAACTACAGTTATTAGTAGTTGAAATATTAGTTACCGTGTATGGTCCTATCCATGGCTTAACAAGCTTTCCACCTTTTCTGTCATCACGTTTATGATTTCGCAATAAAACTTTTGTTCTCATAGCAATACTATTCTTTGGGTTAACTCTTTTGTCATAGTCGCGTTTTTGCCTTACTTGTGACTTTTGGATGTTTTCATAAGCTTCATCGAAAATACACTTCTTCATTTCATTCATTTTATTGAATGTTTCCAAAATTGCTTTTTTGTTTTCGGAATCGTCTTCAATCAGAGTAGCATTATCATTATAGCCAATTAGGTTCTGATCTATATCAATCGACAGAACAGGTTCTCTTTGATAAAGTAATTCAAAGGGTGAAAATCCAGTTGATTTGTGTTTTCTAATTCGCATTGAAAATAAAACACCGTCAATAATAAATGGCCATTCAAGAGCAGCATCTTCTAGCACCTTTACCAATGTTCGTTTTATTGACTGATTTTGACGTTCTACTAAACCGTTTGCTTGTGGATGGTATGCACTCGTCATGCGTTGGCGAGTTCCAGTTTTTCTGTGAAGTTCATTTGAAAGCTCATTTACAAATTCACGGCCTTGATCGTTAATCTGTATTTCAAAACACCCGTGTCTACATATTTGTTTATACAGGAATATTGCAACAGATTTTGCTGTTTTATCAAAAAGAGGTTCAGCTTCTACCCATTTGCTGAAATAATCAACTAGTACTATAAGATATTTATATCCATTTACTTCTGGGAGTTGAGTCAAATCAATCCCAACCTGTTTCATGTTACCTTTTGGAATCGATATGCTTTGTAACAATGGTTTAACTTGAAGTTTCTTGTTTTTTGCTTTTTGACAATTATCACATTCTGAAACATAGGCTGTAATGTCTTTTATCATACCAAACCAAAAAAATCTCTTTTTAATATGCTCTGTTGTTGAATTGATGCCTATGTGGCCAGATAATACGTTAGCCTCATTAGAAATATCATTACCATGAACAGACTTAATTATATGGTGTTGCTCTTCTTTGCACCAAATAACTTTTCTCTAAAAAAAAACCAATACATGATACATTATTAAAACATGATATTATCATGTATTACGTTATTATGTAAAACGTGATACTTAAACACATACATAAAAATGTATATATTTATCGCAAACCACGCTAGTATAAAAAAACTCTAATTATATAAACTGTTTACCTTAACGCCAGATTTACCTAGATGATACAGCTCATTATCTTCAATTACAAATGGTTTTGTTTTTCTTCGAAAGTTCGACTTATCGCCTTTACTAATAGCTGTCTTTGGATATATGCATCTTTTTAAAAAATTATAAACGTCGGCAAATTCAGTATGCATAGTTAAATTTTTAGAATTATGAAAGCCACTGCATAAAAAGATTCGTTTCTTATTGCTTTTCAAGAAACCGCAGTAATTAAAACGTTGAAAACTATTCTCAAAATACAACGTGATTTTGTTACAAAAATACGTTTTGCCGCATAATATTTTTATGGGAGTAAAAATCTCATAATGGGAGTAAAAATTTAATATAAGATTTTTACTGGGGAGTAAAAATTTGATAAGCGGTTTTTACTGGGGAGTAAAAATTTAATGTGAGATTTTACTCGGTAAAAGTTTTATAACATTGAATGAAAAAACATTTTACGTCTCTAAATTTACGGCTGTAAAAATTCCAGCGTAAAAATTCCGCCGGTAGCATTTTATGCCGATAAAAAGTTTTATAACATTGACCCCTGGTCTTCTCAAATCTGGCCTTGTATGGAATACTGTTGCCATATCTAGGGCGGATCTTCTAATGATGTCCTTTCTCTTTTAGACAAGGTGCAAAAACGCATTGTAAACATAGTTGGACCTGCTCTTGCAGCCAACCTTCAACCTTTGTCTCATCGTTGTAATGTTGCTTCTCTTTCTCTTTTCTACAAATACTATAATGGACACTGCTCTAAAGAGCTAGTGTCTCTTGTGCGATATACTAAAATTCATTCTCGTGTAACTCGTCATTCAATTAAGTCTCATCCTTTTTCTGTTACTGTTCCTAAGTGCTCCAAAAACTCTTATTTGTCTTGTTTTTTTCCTCAAACATCAGGTCTTTGGAATTAGCCTCCTTCATCTTGCTTTCCTGATTCATATAATTTGCAATCTTTTAAGTCGTCTATTAATCGTTATCTTGCTCTACAATCTTCATCTTTTCTCTTCCAGTAACTTCCAACACTAATTAGTTGTTGCTTGCAGTCTTGTTGGAAGCGGAGATGTTTAAAAAAAAAAAAAAAAACTATACTAATATTATATAATTATATACTAATAATAGTACATGGAGTTGTCTAGCCCCCCAACGATTTTTATTTGTCGGCAGAATGGGATCTATAGTTGGCCGTCAGATTAGGCAGCATAAAATCATAGCTTTCAATTTATAATGATCACTTTCACCATTTTAATCCTTAGCTGCTATTTAGTAATTATGAATTTTACTATTGCATGTAAAACTATTGAAGAATATTTTACAAAAGAAGTATATCGAGCTATTTTGAATAAATTTTTTTTGTGGAGAAAATCAAAGAGAATTTTGTGGATAAAGTTTTGTGGGAAATCTTGTGGAGTAAATACAAGGCCATGTCATACTATTTAATCTGATGTTGTTTGATGATAATATAAATGTAAAAATAATATAATGTAAAAATAAAGTTTATATAGTTAGTTTTTCACTTTATTTTAAAAGTCAATGTATTTAAGAAGGTTTTAAGGGCCAATAAAATTTTTCTTAACAAAAACATTTTTTATTTACAAACTGGTAGTCCTTTTGCCAGGTTTTGCCCATTTTTCTTTTGCATTTTGGCAGTAGTTTATACTTTTGGAAATGTTGAGATATTTACGGTAATGCATAAGCCAATCAAACCGCGCTTCAAATAGCAAATCAATATTTTTGTCTATAGAATGAAAATGGTACATGTAGCAATAAAACAATTATAATAAAAAATTACTGATAATACTTAGTAAAATATTCATGTAACCTTTATTTTCAAAATAATGATTGCATATAACTGTAATCGGTAATGTTTTGAGGTCTAAATAGCAAAAAACTGACAAAATATAAACTAAAACTCCTATAAACCCTTAACCAGTTAACCAATCCGACTGAAATTTTATCTAGAGTTTAGTATGGCTATATGTACCATTTGTGCCAATTTTTATCAAATTATATGTAGTGAGCATACAATGTACTAAATTTCTATTTAAAGCTATGTCATAAATGAATATTGAAATAGTCTGAGTTATCAAGTTTATTTTTAATAATATATGGCGATGAACCGCTCCAAGCTTCAACAACTCTACTTAAGAAAAAATTATACGTAGGATTACTCTTACAGAGTCATTCTGTAAGAGTATTTCTAAATATAAAAATTAAAATATAAATATAAAAATTGAATATAACAAAAAGCTACTAAGTGGAGGGCCGACGACGTGAGTTTCATAGTGAAGAGCCACAATCATCGATTTCTAAAAAAATTCTCTACCTCTAGAAATTTTTTTAAAAAAGGTTCTTTAGAAAAGAAGTGACGAGGGGGAAGGAGGGAAGGGGGAGTGTTTTCCTGGCCCCACTCCTACCCTGATGACTTCGGCCCTGAAGTATACCTTCGTTAATTTTTGTTTATGACCACAAAATTTGTTTTAATTAAGTTCTAGATATTTATCTAATTTATCTATAATCTTTCTTTATTTTATATTGAAATAATAGAGCTTCTTGTAAACGGCTCACTTCTTATATTGTTAAGTTGGTTAAATGCACTTCCGCGGTGCTCTGTGACAAGACCGTTAGGTCTTCTTGGGGCACCTAAATAACAAAAAAAAAAAAAAAGTTTATTATATGTTATCCAAAAAATGCATAAAACGCAATATATCCTTTACGCATGCGCGAAACCTTACAATGCTGCTCTGTAGCATGAAATGGTAAATTAAAATGATTTCCGAGTAATTTGTGGCTTTTCTGAGGGAAGACTTTAATGTTAAATGAAATTATCAAGTTACCCCTAATCCTAACCAGCCTATCCTCCCCTATGCCATCATAGGAGCATTGGTTGACTATGATGGCATACTTGTGCTCTTTTTTAAAATAGGAATAACTTATAAAAAAAGCAAAACTGATGAAAAATCCAAGGGTTATTATTGTTCTACTTATAACAAGGAATGTATTCATATCAAAACTTTTATTACAGGTCTTCAGGATACTGAATAATGAAGCTTCAAAGTTAAGTATGCCATCATAGGCGCCTTTCCCTATATGTAATCTATTTTCTTCTTTTTCACATTTTCTCCAAAGTTGGTTTTAATTTTTAGCTATTTTTTATATTTTAATTGAAGGTACCTTGTTTCAAATTAGGTGTCCAGCGACCTAAAATAAAACTATTTTTTATATATTTTTCGAAAAGTTTTTAAAAAACGCATATTAGTAAAATTAAAATATAATTTAATAATAATAATAAATTTATATAACATTGTATATATTTATAATATATTAATAATAATTGTTAATCATAAAAAAATATTTACAACAAAAATTATTATTTATACAAAATATTTTTAAATGTTATTAATTTTTCTAAGAACGATAGCGGTTAACTAAAAAACGAAGTTACTTAAAACAAGATATTTATTAATATCTTTTTTCAAGTAATGTAATGCTAAGTATGTCAATATTGCGTTTGATGAAAAGTAACGTTTGATAAAATTTAACGTTTGATGAAATGTAACGTTTGATGAAAAGTAACGTTTGATGAAATGTAACGTTTGATGAAATGTAACGTTTGAATTCATTACCGCTCAAGAGCGTTTTTTAAAATCTCTTTTGATTTATCACTTGATTTAAACTTAACAAAAATCGTTTCTTTTAAATATTTTCTTTTATTGGTTTTTTACCTCATACTTTTGGTTTAACTTAAAATTTTTTTAATGATATACAAGTATTCTCTTTATCAAAGCAAATACTTGCAGATAAATCCTGAAATAAAATAAGAGAAATAGCTTCTGAAATCGATATCTTGAATTAAGTTTTGATAAACAATTTTTTAAAAACTAAAGCTTTACTCATTTTTCGCCTCAATTTCTGTTAGTCATAACATTACATCATTGGAATTCGGGAAAGTCTATAAAATACATGAGACATATCCCACATTCCAATGACGTAATCTTTAAAGGTTTAATGTACTAAGACAATGAAAAATGCATAAAATGTTTACTTTTATCATTGCCCAAATACATAACGTCATCTCAAGCATTGCGTTATTGAAATGCACAATACGTCTATTAAAAATGCGTAAAATAAAATAGTTAATACAAAAGTGTATTAGTTAATGCGTATTTCTCCCAAAGGATTGAATAAAACAAAGGGTAAAACACTTGGCAAACAAATATGGTAAACCATAGTTATACTTAAAATATAGATGAAAGCATCTATGACTATCATGTCAATAGATATTGTTGAATCATTCTTAAAACATTCAGGCTTTGAGATGACAGACGTCCTCGATGATTGGATGCTGGCTTTTCATAAAAAATGGGCAGAGTTTGCTTCGAACCCTAGACCTTTTACTTCTAAAGCAAGCGCTCTAACCACTGCGTCACGGTTGCTCAACTTCCCTGCCGGTTTTATAATAAAAGACAAAAAGTGTTTGTTTTTTTTTCACTATTTATAATATCTCAGTTTATCCTCACTAACAACTGGATACAAAACATTTATAAAAAGTTTATAAAAAACAAGCAAAATGATTCATCTTTGTAAAAAACGAGAACAGATATATATATATATATATATATATATATATATATATATATATATATATATAAATTAACCTGAAAAATAATTAGATTATAGAAGAACTTATTCAGACCTTATACAAAGGATCTGAACATATAATTAAAAAAAAAATAAGAACAAAAAAAAAAGTATTAAAACAGTTTATGTAAATAAACGTAGTAATAATTATAAATAATCTTATCAATATATATAAATTTAAAAAGTAAATAAACAATTAAATAAAAAAAAAAAATACTTGGATATGATCTTTTTTTAGCGATTGGTTTCGATGAGAAATTTATTATTGTTTTATGAAAGCTTGCCATTATGAATTGTATCAAAAAACAGTAGCGCAATTAGGGGGGTTTCCATGGTACCCGGAAACCCCTTTTTAAATTGTTAAAAAAATTAAATTTTAGTCAACCTTTAAAAAAAATAACTCAACAAAATAAAACTTAAATAATAATAATAAAAATTCAAATAATAATAATAAACTATAATATACTATTGTTTGTTAATGTTTAAATTATTATAATTTGGAAACCACCGTTTGAGCACCCCTTTTGATTTATTTTTTAATATTTTGTTTACTGATTAAGGTGGTACATAAGTAAAAGATAATAAAAAGTATATATATATATATATATATATATATATATATATATATATATATATATATATATATATATATATATATGCACGCTTTGGGATTCACAAAGTAAAAACCAAGGATTCATAAAATTGGAAACCCCTTTTAAGAAATCCTAATTGCGCTGCTGAAAAATGATAGGTAACAGATGATGCGGAAGTTATCTGAATTTAATTATTTGAGCATTATAATTATATATATATAT